ATCGATATATTTTTGTCAAATTTTTATGATATCTTCAAACATATATTTTATTCAAAAATAAAAACATCATCGCTTTCTCAAAATCACATAAAGTCATATTATAACATCGATTGAGATAAATAATAAAATGAAATATTAAAATCACGATGTATCTCGCCGCATTGCGCAAATACACTTATAGTATATATATATATATATATATATATATATATATGTGTGTGTGTGTGTGTATTACTCAAACAAACGAAAACCCAACATATTATATGCATAGATGGGAATGTGTAGAAACCTTAACTCTTTGCCCAATAAACAAACAGACGATTTCAGTATTTGTAAAAGAAGAAATAAAAATAATAATATAAGATGTATGAAAAAAAAGAGGAACTATTAAAACATCTTTTCGCATATGTTCTAATTATTTATACCGATATAATCTATCAGGCCTGCATCTTTTTCTCCAAAATATAGGTCTCCATGACTTCGTCTACTTGTGAAATGTTCAGATACCTACGGCTGCAACTTACATATAAGAATTCTCTCATTTTCTCACGTTAAATCCGAATTATGTCGATCCCGGTGGCAGACGGTGGCGTTAAAGGGAGGAGGAAGAAGGCGTCAAACTCCAGAGGACATCCCAGATTCGTAGGAGTCCGACAGCGGCCGTCCGGGAGATGGGTGGCGGAGATCAAGGACTCCTTGCAAAAAGTTCGACTGTGGCTTGGGACTTTCGACACGGCAGACGATGCTGCCCGGGCTTACGACGACGCCGCTCGGTCGTTGCGTGGAGCTAATGCTCGTACCAATTTTGAACCACCAGACGCCGTGAGATGTTCGCCGGAAAACTCGGAGCCGTTCTGTTTCGAAGAAGCATGCCGGTCGGAGGATGCCGAGAATGGGCTGGTAGGAGCTCTGAGAGCGAAACTATTTCTAGGGAGCAGCTCAAAGCACGCGGCAGCGAAGGGGAAATCTCTAGGTTTTCCGGCGTCTCAACACCACCCCGTCGGTGTAAAGAGGAAAACACCGTCCACCGCCGTACCCCCAAGTGTTATTACGAATTTACCCCTGGTGAATCATGATCTTATACGAGTCGCAAGTCCTATCAATTTGGATGAGGGGCAATGGCGCAACACCTGCTACGAGCCTCAACCATGGTCGGCAACCACCGCATCATCGTCTGCTGCGAAGAACCAAGTCATTGACGTTCTGAGCAGTCTCTTGGACACCAGTTTAATGGACTCTTTGTGGCCGCTTACTAACGAAGCAATCGAAGCGACGGTGGTCAAGACGGCAACGGGGATTTGGCAGGAACAACAGGTGTTGCATTGTGACAACAGTTGGGGTGGTAGCGGTAGCGGAGGAGGAGATCAAGCTCTCAATGGAGCTCCCAATGCTTCAAGCTGGGATCCATTCATCTACCTGAACTCCGTTTTAGGTTGACCTCAAAAATCATACTCTTGTTGACTAACTTTTACATATTTATGTATTCAATTTTGAATGAGACAAAGATGGTGATGATAGATTGTTGAGTTAAAAGGGGTGTTTAAGATTGATTGCCGGGTTTTTTTATTTATTTTAATATGGTACCGGTGATAAACTAAATGCTAGTGTTTGGATGAGGAAAAATAAAACTGCTTATATCGGTACCAAACTGGTAATAAACAGCTTTTGATAAGTTAATCTTTCCTGACTTATGAAAAACTGTTTATTATCGGTTTACAATTTTAACTCTCTTTTATTAATGTTTGTTAATTATTAATCTTATTGATATAAATTTTTGTCAAAAATATTATTATAAATGATGAAAAATAAATTTTTACATGTTGAAAAATCAAATAAGTTAATAAGCAATCTCAAACACTCTCATAAGTCAATAATATGGAAGACCATCTTTCTTGGTCATTTTACATATATAAGTAAAATTTGTCAAACACTAAAAAACAACTTATCAGCTTATTGTTTTTTGGTACCGCTATAGCTAATCCAAACACTTTTTACAGAACTCATGTTTGATACAACATAAGTTAATAAACATTTTTACAAAAAAAAACATAAGTTGTTTTAAATAAGCAATCCCAAACACCCCCTAAATATGATTAAATTCTATTTAGTTCTTTCATGTTTCAATCATATTGATAGATTCAAATTTGACTGGTTTCATTAAGTCACCTTATTTATTTCAAGTAATGGTTATCTATACTATATTATAAAGCATTTGATAAAAACTCTTAAAAACCATTTTTTATACATAAAGTACTGTTTATTGATGCATATTCTTTAAAATTTAAGATTACTAGTAATTGGGCATAAGTACAATTTATTAAAGCTCCATGCTTGAATTCGTGTAACTAACTACATATAAACATAATCAAATACAGGATAAACATTTCATTTTAAATATAAATCTATACTATCTTATAAAGCATTTGGCTAAAACTCTTAAAAACTCTTAAAACTCT